TGTTGAACCTCAGACATTTTGGAAATGACTCAAAGATGATATCTAGAAAATGAGTAGTAATGAGTAATACAGAAGAAAGATGTAATTTTGTATTCTGAGAGACGCCTATGTATAGTTCCATATCTGTATCTAAGTTTAAAAAGGAAAAACACGTGTTAGTTAACAGAATTTCAACTACAGAATATTCCCAGAATGCTGCTTGCACTCAGACAAGACTGTCTCAAGCATCTTCGTTTGCAGTGTTGTTGTAGCTGTATTGGTCCCAGGATAATAGAGAGATAAGATGAGTGAAGAAGAGCTCTGTGTAAGCTTGAAAGTTTGTTTCATTTATAGAAGTTGGTCCAATAAACGATATTACCTCACCCAACTTGTCTCTTCGTTTACAGGTCAAAAAGGTATGTGGATTATTTAGACGTGCTGAAATGATTTGATAGTAGAATGTTTATTGGGAGTCATTGAGGTCTATTGACTGTAACTATTTTGGATATTAGGAAACACTATTTCACTAGGAGGGTGGTGAAGCACTGGAATGGGTTACTTAGGGAAGTGGTAAAATCTCCATCCTTAGAGGTTTTTAAGGCCAGGCTTGACAAAGCCCTGGCTGGGATGATTTAGTTGGTGTTGGTCCTGCTTTGAGCAGGGGATTGGACTAGATGACCTCCTGAGGTCTCTTCCAACCCTAATATTCTATGATTCTAACAGTGGATTTGGAGCCTACTTATAGAATCATTTTAGTCAGCTTGCTGTGAAGACACAAGAAGTCTGCATGCCAAAAATCTCAATGACATTTTCAAACCTTTTAAGCACAACAGCAATTTTATTTATTTATAAATGGGAATTTATTAAAGGTGCTGATTCCACTTGCAGTTGATACCACAGTGGCCACTGCTATCTTTCCAGAATAAATGACTTTCTGCCTTGCACAACCTGTGGTGCCGATATAATGGTGGCAGGCACCTTCAAATAAATTAAACTAGATTTACCTGCTTTTTTGTTCAGAGAAGACTCTAACATCACTGTGGTGACTTTTGATCTAGCTAGTTCTGTTGCAAATATTTTTTGTGTGTGTGACTTTAATTATTTTGAATTGAATGATATCAGAGGGAAATACTTCTTTGGTGTTTCTCACATTGAAAAATGACATATTTTATCTATGATAAACCTTTTAATTAATTTAATCAAATTTTATGTATTCATATGGGCCTCCCATTTCAGTAGTATCTGAGTGCCTCACAGTCTCTAATACATTTATCACAACCATTCCCTGAGGTACAGAAATACTGTTATTCCCATTTTACAGATGAGGAACTGAGACACAGAGGGACTCTGGGCTTGTCTAGATGGAGAATGTGTAGCAAGCTGGGGTGCAAGCATGTTCTAGCCTGCCATGCACTGTCTGTCTGTGGGAAGCCTGCTACCATGCACTGAAAAGTTCGGTAGTGCTCATTGATCTACTCTGATGGGATACTCCTAGTGTGCTGTAGCAGGATCCACATGGACTGTTAGTGTGTGTCATACTAATGCACTGTAGATTTATGCCCAGGTTGCTACACACACTCCGTCTAGACAAGTCCTAACTGACTTGCCCGAAGTCCCACAGGAAGTCTGTAGTGGAGCAAGAACTACTTTAGTGCAAACTTGGAACCTTTACATTTGTGCCTGCAGTGCCCACACAGCAGAGTTACAGTGCAGCACTTTGATGTGCACTGCTATTCACACCCCCTTAATCCGAACTGCAGGGCAGTGTAGACAAGCCTTAAAGCAGCGGT